GGTAATAGTTGACATTGTGATGGGTTAATATCACGGCAGCCTTATCATGTGTGTAGTGCTACCACCTGTTAAACCAAAAATAAACAATAAAGATTGGCATGGCCAATTAAGGATTATTACACTGATAAAAAATCCACAACAGCTTCACCAGTCACTTTCCTTTTTTTTAAAGGTATCCGCTTGAACGCCTTCATAATTATAAAGTATGCTATTGTGTTATCACAGACACCAAGCCCCCACTTACAATTTATGCTATGCTTAGCGATACATCTAGCTGGCGTATGGGGTGATGTTGCTCTCGGCTAACACGTAATACTACATATGCTACGTTTTCGCGCACCGGGAAAGATGAAACTTTAAAACGCAACGCACCAAACCACATTGATTTGTTATTGAGTTTTATACTATCTATTATTACAGGTGACAAAATGGCAATGTTATACATTAAGGCAAAGCGTAGCTAACCCATTTTCTTAGGGGAGGGGCAAAAGCATGTACATGGTGTGTTCAAGGAAAGTCACCGCCTTTGACCATGTATTGTTAATCTATTTTTTTCTGGGGGGGGAGGGGAGCCAACTGTCCTGCCTGCCCCCCTCCCGGCTGGGGCTAGCTACGGCCCTGTAAGAATCAATTAATATTACGAAAATAAACAACTCATGCTTTTGTAACTTTCACAGTGTTATAAAGCCACGTATATTTTCGATAATAATGAATTATATCAGAAGTTGAGGAAAGATTAGGAGTTTGGTCTCTAGAAGGACATATGTGATTTTCGTCGCGGATAGTGACGACGTAGTCTTACGTTATTGTTCACACAGCAAGGGCTGATGACAAGTGAAATTTGTTCATACGTACACCACACGAGGATATCACCATTTACACAGCCACTGGCCACAATAACACGAAACGCGGTCTATTCGATAAACGGATCGCTGATTACACCTATTGAAACTTCGCTGTGTATACGCGTTCCAGATAACTGTAGCTAAATACCATCAGAGAATCTACCGGTATGAGGTATCCTACTCCAAGGTCCTAGAAAGTTATGGCTTGACATTATGAATAACTTTTTATAGCTGATGATCACTAGGGCTCGTGGTCCAACACTATAAGCGAAATGCATGCCTCTTCCTCATAAGTGGTTTGTTAGTAGGTATGTTAAAATATTCACTGCTCTTGAGTTAACCTATTTTCGCTGCCTTTACAATATACATAACAATTGATAGACGGCCAGGCCGGAGATGAGAGAAATTCAGTATTAGATTGATAGGATTCGCACTGCGCATTTGATTTCTAAGCTATATAAGTCATATAATCATGCACTTTTTTGGTATCAGTAATAGCAATACTAGCCATAAATTTACAATACATGAAGTTATAAAACACAATGGATGATGACGGTGCAGGAATCTCGATGGCAGACACAAACAGTAGAGCAATAGCGGTTAGATAGGCCCGCTATATTGCTCTACTCCGAGCAATATATCACATTTATTGTTGATTTATATTGCTCTGCTCTACTGCACTTGTTATTGTCAATGGCGCGCTTGTCTGTGGTAGCAGAGTCCAAACCTTTGTTTCTATAAAACGAAGTCACATAATATTTGGCATTCGATTTTTGCTTTTTATCTACCTGTATTGCATTAATTGTCGTTGAAAGTAATTATTTCGTTTACGGACGAAAATATTGCGTAATTAGCAATAAACAGACCATTCTGTTTTGCATCCAATGTTAGATTATTGCTTCGGCTAAATCAATTATGGCTTGATTACACGCGTAGCTAAATATTAAACCTAACACTTACTCTATCCGCTAAATATATTATTACTAACAAAAAATAATGTATAACATGACAAAATTGTTTGTTTGCGATTAGTTACAAATCGGCAATATTCTGAAACTCACTTTCCACAATTTTCGCCTCTTCTAATGTCTCTGGTAGCTCTTGGTCTTTTGGTTTCTGGCAGAAAAGGCGCTGCTATAACCTGCTGAGATGGCAGCACTCCAGAAGATGAGTAGGGTGATACTCACGTCTATAGAACCCTGACAAAATAGATTAAATGATGGTGTTGACATGAAGATAGGAACCAACGATTGTGTAAAGTACTTGGTGATATTTTAGAATAGATTACAAGCAAAATTCAAAGGTTACAAAGAGGACGAGTAACTATTTGTGCGCCCACGTTAGACGATACAAAACGTGCACAAGGCATGTGGTATTTATAGGCATTTTCATCTATAAAACTTTAAAAAATCTATGAAATCTAAACTGAAATTTATGGTCGGTATTTTATTTTGTAACGATTCTTTGTAATAATAATCGATGCCACATACAATAGGACACGGTATGGAGCTAGAATTGCTGACACACGTGCCCATGTAGAGTTTACTTCCAAGTCCATGTTGCGAACGGACTGTGGGATACAGTTCACTACTGTAAGTAGCAATGCCGTATTGGGCCAGATGATTGCCAAACATGCCCAATTGGGTTGCCAACGCAACAATGACCCAATTCAAGTCTGCAAAAGCTTAGTTACAAACATGTGTTGTGCTGGGTGAGGTAATTATCCGGGTAACTTTTGACGATTGATACGTGTATATATTGACCCGAAGTATGAGATCGTTTTTTCAGTGTATGTTGTGCGTTGCATTTTTTTATGTCTCATTAAGAAAAGGCGTTAGACTCTTTGCAATTGAAGAATTTCAAAAACTAGAATCTTTGCTGAACTCGACAGCTGTAGCGCTCGTCCAGGTGCACTGTGCTCGGGCGGCCGGAGAATTTTCAAAGGAAAACGCCTACTTTTTCGTGTAAAAATCACATTTGCAAAGTGGCCATTTGGAGTGTGCTGCCGGGAAAAGCTTGTTTACAAAAAAAATATGCAAGAATTTTTGAGTTAACAAATATATGGTGCTTACTTGCGACGTGGATTGCATGGATGCATTGGATTGGGGGGTAAAAAAACAACTTTTGCTGATTCATTGGGAATTTTCGTAACCTATGGCCGCCTCATGGGAAATGCATATCCAGTGTGAGTGTGTACCTAGAATGCTTACCGGCCTAACACTGGCCGTACGCATTAGAATGCTAGCAGGTACTTGACTGTCGTGTAAACGCAACCGAGTTAAAATTGCCATCGGCTATACCACTACGGAAAGTTACAACTGATAACTTTTTGGGCATAAACGGGCCATATTAACACAAACATAATAGGCGCTAGCATCACGCTTAAATCACATGTGAAGACGAATGTCGATTCCCTTATTAAAATTTCTCTAAAACCATTTCTAGCGCAAAATTTCTGAGCTTTATATACAAGATTGCACAGAATTAGGACACAAGATTATGCTGCGCTAATGAATAGGCCCTAATAAAGATATGCGTGTGTGTGCGTGCGTGCGCATGCGCGTATGTGTGTATACTGTGCTGTGACAGCACTACTTTTTAGGCAGTATAGACGATTTCCAATATACAAATTTGTAATAAGTAAAATTGTAATTCTAATGTGCATACGTATATATGTGTACCCGCAAGCACGCAATTACACATACGGGCATATATACATATGTAGTGTCTGAAAATAAAATTGCCATGTTGTCTAAGACATTCGCCACTTAACTAGCTGGCCACGGTATGCGTTACAAGGCAGGTGATCCCTGCAAGCAACATGGTATCCTGATAGGAACCTCCGTCCAGATATTTTAGAATGATGGCACTGAGAATACGATTAGGCAGCGGATACCAACTAATGCTGAGCAGCGAAGTAATGGACGGTCCGTGCCTAGGTTGGCAGAATTCATGGCCAACCCGTAATAAACCAGAGACACCACAAACCTGTCAAATACAAAGACCGCTAAAATGACAAATCAAGTATAGCCAGATGAAAAACATCAATAATTGGTTTCGTAGAAATCAAAACTAAGTAGACAAACATATATTAAACAGATATAACATTTTGACAGAGTTTACCCTCTAAGTATTGCAATTGAAAGCACTAGAAACATGCATGATCTGTATTGGTGACTTCATGGATGGATCACTTGATAACACATAAAAATGTACAAAGAATGAAATGGCAAAAAAATTTCCAAGTGTGGCTCACAACCTAGATTTTTATATTTATAATAAATATTTTTGTTGCGTAAGAATCATCAAAAGAAAGTCTAAATATTGCATAACGAGTTAATTTATGCTAAAAGACATACAACAAACACACTTGTATGCTGTTGACGGTATTTGGCTAGGACGTGATCTATGTAAGAACCTACCATTGATACATCATGTTAACCGACTTCTTCCTCATATTCCGGAGTTCGCAATATGTCGGTGTAGTTGGGTTCTCTAGCAGAGCCATCAGCGTGACAATCATATGTTCTGGACAGATAGACCTGCATTGATACGTTTGTTGTGCGCAAGATACAGTTGCTTTGTATTTGGTTTGGAATTTTTACGGTTGGTTGGATTATAGTACCGGGAACTCTTATAATTTCGTGAATAAAAACTGACCAGCATGTCAGACGCGATGTTGCCTGAATACCTTCGCATCTAGTTTAAGTTCTACATGATCTGGATACGTTTTCTTGTTTGTCTTTGCGACTCTGCGTAGCGCCTTGTCGCAGTCATCTACTCGACCTTCAGCGTAGAGCCAACGAGGAGATTCTGGTATAAAACTACAACAAACAACGTAGTATCAACGAACGAAATACAGTAGCAGATGGAGGGGCAGTTCAATAGTTATGTTTACGTATCAACCGTAATTAACCAGTGTATGGACATATTAAATTGTTTTTGATCGTTGAAAAAATGGAGTCGGCTATTAAATATTTATAGAATGAGTGCTACGGCGTGCAGATAGTGTTATGGTTTGGTATTCATTGAATACTCTGTTAGATTTCGCTGGATAATAAAATGCTTGATTAATAACATATCTATGCGTTTACACGAATTTATTAGAGACTTCGTTTAAACCAGTCAATAGTGCTACTTATGAAAGTATCCAATGTCAATCAAGCATCTATTATCAGCAAGGACTCAACAAGGTAGTTTATATAACGATGTAAAGCGAATTGAATAGTCGAAAATTCAGCTAGCCACACACGATGGTGAAGGCGCCAATCGCGGATGAAATAAGCACACAGGGCATTTCAGTGTGTATCCCAGAGAGTAGGCGATCCCTGACCCGTTTTGTCACACGGTTTCTGTATTGTGGTCCAACATTCTCGAGCACTAAATCAAATGACGTAAACGACGATCACTTAATTGCAAGTAAACAAAGGTTGAAGAAGAAATGGCGAGATTGACCAACAGTTTTAGGAATTGATTGGAAATTATAAACACACACCGATGTATCGTGCACGTATGGCAAGGGAAGTTTTAGTGTTCCAGTATGACATCCGGAATAATTCTGTTCTCTGCAGTCGTACTTAAACTCCGTCCCTTTTACCACACCATTAACCTAACCCTAAACGTAGCGTTCAACTTCTTTTCTGTTAAATTGCATTATAAATTATTCTGTAAAGATTTTTTTATAGGAGATTTTTTGATAACACAAAGGGACTTTAGGCTGATATAACTAATAAATAAGTAGTATAGACAAGCGATATATTGTGCTGTGTGAGCCTGTGTCACGTGTTTCTGTTGAGTGATTTTTGTGGTACACAGGGACCTGTCTGATAATAGTACTAATACTGTAGTCCTGCTGCTCCGGATACGCACAATAACAAACCATCCTCAATACGATTGCTAATTGTACTATAACTACTACCTACCATAGATATAGGAACTGTTAACGGCTGCAGATCCAGACGCGCCGATGAAGAACCGAAAGAGCAGAAACCATGTGAAGTTAGGAGAACGCAGCTACGGTGGCGCTTACCGCAAACACAATACATGTGAGGATGAACGTCATTTTCTTTCCTTTCCTATACTCAATACATAGAAAAGTATTTAGTAATCAAAACTTTAATTGCTGTTTTAGTTTTTACTTTCTTATAGCAGTGTCGTTGTCAAATACGGATACGAAATCACTTAAGCTTTGGCTTAAACTTTGAAGCGTTTGGTACACGATACTCTTCTAACCATATAAGCAGTGAAATGAAATGGACATTGTCTATACAAACGGTAATATACGTGTCACATGTGAAGTTGTAGTAATTTGATCAAAACCGTACATGTCAGCCAGATATGCCGGTATGATGCATCCCACCAGAAAACCCAGCATGTATATGCTTGTGCGCTGGCCGCTAGCCATTCCTTGCCACATACGAGGTCCCACTGAAACATTAGCGAGCAAGATGCAACCTATGCTGGTCCGTTATTGTACTACCCCGTATGTAACATACGTAACTCAGAGCTGTGCGTATTATTAGACACGTAAAGATAGATTATTCTTTCATATATCTGACATCCTATCCGTACATTATTTTATAGCAAATGTAATTACACAATCTAATATTGCTCATACGTAGACGGTTCAGAAGCAGTCATAAAATGCACGAAAGAGAGAATATAACAAAATATATTAAGCAATAATAAATTTAAGCTGTCGGCGCACGTGTGAGAAAGGATCGCATATACCTCTGTAACCAACGTTGATCCACCTTCGCGAATATCGTAGATCCATCCATGCTGACATTGGCCTTCCACAGTATTACCCAGTAACGATGCCGGGACCGCTCGCAAACGATTTCATTCTGGATAGATTTCTTGCTATCAGATAATTTTCGCGCACGTACACTTTGCACCGTGAAAAAACAAAGGTTGCTTGTCAACCTTTTCCATTGGAATGCTGAAGTTTCGCTGGACGTACAATCGGTAGGTGCATCAAAGTTCTGGGACTCGGCACCAGTGATCGGGTGTGGCCCCAAGAAGCGGCATTATCATGTTATGAAGCGCCAGTGAGAACTTCGCGGAACATACCATGACGAATACTAAAAACTGCCATCTTCCTAGATTCCCGATTGTCGACAATATCATTCCAAAGTCAAACACCTGCTTCGACTCTTTTTATCCATTGCGGTGTTTGTATCATTACACATACTTGCCGTAGGTTTCAGTCACAGGCGTGAGCAAATTCAGAAATGCAATGATCAGCCTGGACAAAGAAAGAGATTAAGTCCGCCCGGTCAATGATATCAATAGATAATATTTACTCTTAGTAACTCGTCGCCCCTGCGTTTTGGGGTCAACCGGTAGCAAACACCAGCAACCAAAGGCTAAAGCATATGCCGCTAACAACTCTATATCTGCAAGAAACACACGGTAAATTTTTTTATTGCGAATGGCTAGAGATGCGCAACAAGACGTCTGCAGAACAAGACGCGTCTACTCGTGTTAACCGCAGAGTAGCTATGAAAGCAGTGCACAAGGTGCTAGGAGGGGTAAACTTTGGGCGAATCCGCTCATCTCGTTCATTCGCTCGACTACTTCATTGTGGCCATGGCTGGATCTATTGATCACGTGATTTCGTAATCGGGTTTATGATACCCAAGTATAATTTTTATCTCGCTCAAATGTCAGCGGTATGTCGCACATAGATATGAGAAATGAAAGTACTCCTATGCGGCCAGCTCGTACTGCTCCACCTGTGCGGCTAGAGTTGTGTGTAACAATATAATTCTAGCATGACTGTCAACGTGTCCTGGTTGACACATAAATAATGTTTGTGTGATTCTTAAAACATTTGCCTAATTGTCTATAGTCAATGACATGCATCCTCTATCGTACTAATTTAGTATAAATATACGTATGTTATACTATATATACTATTATATTACTATATATTGTAGTAATTTATATTTATATTGAGATTATTATGTTATTATATTATTATATTATGATTGTATTATTATTAAGTTAGTAGTAATACTAGTATATTGTACTATAATATACTATTATTGAAGATTCGCTGTTTATGCCGCGCCTTACGTCTATTATAGGACAACTGCGAGTGGTGCTACACCTGTTAGACAAAAATAAACCAACAGTCATGGGTTTTTGCCAAAAGAATGGCATAAGTCAAACTAATGATTTTTACAATGGTAATTTCCACAACAGCTTTAGCCATCAATTTCCATTATATTACTTACGTAGCAGGACACCAGAGTTTGCCCGCGGAAATAAAAGCGCTCAGTTTGCGGGACACATTGGTTGAAAGAAAAATACCAGATAATACATCGTATTTATCTACCTACCTATCCCTATCTATCTATCTATCTAGCTATCTATTATTCTATCTATGCTATTATATATCTATCTATCTGATCTATCTATCTATCTATCTATCTTTCTATTCCTATCTCATCTATCTTCTAATTATAATCTATCTATCTTATCTATCTTATCTATCTATCTATCTATCTATCTATCTATCTATCTATCTACTATCTATCTATCTATCTATCTAGTTTATCTATCTATCTGATCTATCTTTATCTATCTATTCGTACTCTATCTATCTATCTATCTATCTTATCTCATCTATCGATCCATCTCATCTATCTATCTATCATATCTAATCTATCTATCTATCAATCTATCTATCTATCTATCTATCTATCTATTCTATCTATCTTAATCTATCTATCTATCTTCTATCTATCTATCTATCTGTCAAGCTATCTATATATATATATCTACTTCTATTATTATATCTATCTATCTATCTATTGATCTATCTATCGTACTATCTATCACTATCTTATCGGTTATCATATCTATCTTGTCTATCTATCTATTTATCGTATATATCTATCCGTGTCTATCTATCTATCTATCTAATCTACATATTTATACTATCGCAGTCCATCTATGTGATCGTAACATGCATGTAGTATAGTAACGCCAATGTAAACGCGAACTGCTACAGTAATCCGCAAACAACAAAGTGCAAAGTGAATCCTGTTTACAGTTAAGTATTTTAATGCTGCTGTAGGGGGCGTTGATTTAATGCCTGCTGCAGGTGGCCGAGTATTTTTTTCGTTCTCCCCCCCCCGTTTTTTTGGCTTAGATGACCTGGAGATCAAATCCAATGTGCCCATGACATTCAGCAACAAAAATTTACCTTTAATGTCATCTTTACATTTTTAGGAGGCCGGTCCCCATACTCTGATTTGCATCGCGGCAGAACAGACAATGCGGCACCAGGTTCTACAAATGACTGGTATTAAGAATACGCTGATCTGCCGTTCAGTATATATTAAATTCACAGCGTGTTTGACTTAACGCATTGGCGCCGCCTAGAGCACACTGATGTTTGATGGGGCTCGCTGTGTTATTAGTGCGTAGCGGCGTAACTTAATTTATGTAAACATTAACTTCCTTAAGCATTTGACAGTTAACATAATAATATCTAACCTTTACTGACGTCTTTATTTGTGTTAATTCGTTGGATTACTATAAGTTTATATATATAGTATATCTAATGAACAATTGTCGTCTATTCGCGCGATCCGTTCTACTTAGAAACATCATATGATAAATAAATTATGGTCTGGTTATTTAGTGACCCTTAGTGTCTGGTGACAGTCTAGCATTTCTCTTTGTACGCATACTATACTTGTTATGATGAGCTGTACGTCGATGAGCACGATGTCTAAAATAGAGCCTTTAAAACATTCAGTAGTTTAGCGTTGTCTCTTTTCCGTTTATATTATAGGAGACTTGGTCGAGGATGCAAATCTGGCCCGGTTTATGGCAAAGGTTAATGGTGTTTAAAAACTCGTGCTACAGTTGGCGGATTTCACATGAAGATTGATTTCAGTAACAGAAGTAAACACTAGAACAGGTAAGGATATGTAGTGTGTTACCGGCCGCGGGACACCAACCCCCTAACCCAATGCCTATTTGCCAATGTCTAGGCGATCCTCTAGTGCGTATGTGTGGGTGATGTGGCTTACTGGTACACGTTATTTAAGCGACATTCTGTGCCGGGCGCCTCTTCTCGGACCTGTAGGTACACAACTTAAACGCATCCACCAACTCATAATTGGTTTCGTTATTGGTTACTTACGTACACGGGATAAACCATTTTCCAAGGTGATAAATGAAATTACCTACATCGACGATCAATAACGGAAAATAAAACAACTTCATGGCGTATTTTGTAGGGAATTTCACAGTCTTGGCAAAACAGATGAGTATATTTTCGAATACCAAGGAATCAATGGAAGTTAACGAGAGCTTAGAGATTTCGTCGCTTAAGCACTGGCGTATAATAGCCACGAATGCGACCGAATGCGAATACACTCAAGGCTTTTCACGAGGTATTGCTCTACATTGGAGAGTAAGCGTTTATGAATGACTGAATCGAATCAGATCCACATCGTTTTTTTGCAGGATGAGATGCGTATCTCTATGCTTCAAGCCAAACAGATCGATGAAATTCCCAGCATCTAGTTATGTGGCAACTCAAATTTGGAATTTTTGTGTAAAAATGGCATTTTGGAAATTGCTCAATTACCATAGGAGCGTGAAACCAAGATTTTCACCAAAATTGGTAAGCTACATGTTGGTAACAAACCCGGGGCCCATGCAACGAGGTATGAATGCTATTTTCGACTCTATGAGTCGGTTGAGCTGGGGACAGTCTCATGCGCCACTAATGACTACTGTTTAAACAGGTTCGGTTGGATCATACGAGTATCACCTCCCCCCCCCTTGTCTCTGACGTCATCAGTTAAATGTGTATCATTAAAAGGTCACGAATCCCATAAGCACCACATTAATACGGTACGCGGTACGCGTGACCACGCGGGCAATCAATTACGACGCTGAAAGTTTCAACATGTTATCGGTAATATGAAGAAATAAGAAATGCAGCAGAGTCGGCCGACATATATTAGCATCAAATATAATAAAAGATAAAAATCAATGAAATTTCGCATAAAACCTTGAGTGTATCCGGGGTAAACATATTAAAAATGCGTTGCTAGAGATACCGACCGAGTTACAGATATCTCTTGGGCTAGATAGCTTCTAGAATCAGCCTATATTTAGTAATTTTGCAGATCACTACAATGTAGTGGCATTTACCTTTGATGCCTCGCCTGGGGTTCCTACCATACATAACAGCATTAACATGTTTTGGGCGGGGTCAGGCGATGGTAGGTAAGATAATATCCGGATTAGCTATGACTATTAGAATATTTGCATGCGCGCTTTCGATATGCCGTACAATGCTTATATATATAAGTCAGAATAAATCATGTCCCTTTTCTGGCTTATCAGTAAACATGGATACCGCTTATAAATCTTCCATTACATGAGTTATAAAACCAAGTGGACGATGACGTATGGAGGAAACTAGATTAGGACGATTGCCAGCAACACAAACAGGTATAGTAGTAGCCTGCTTACGATAGGCGCTTTATATTGCTCTCTACTGCACTTGTTATTGTCAATCGACGGCTTCTGTAGTTAGTAGAGTCCAAAACTCATGATTCTACAAAACGAAGTAACATATAATACTAATGATTCTACGTCTGCTATTTCAGTTAAATTCTGAACTGCATACCATGATGTTCGTGGTATTTGTTTAATATATGAGGCCGTAAATACTACACGATTAGCCGATTAAACGGACCCAACATTTTGTTTATTTTGTGCACTTATATGCACGGTGATAGTACAAATCGCAATATCTGAACTCACTTTCCAAAATTTTCACCATCCTCTAATGTCTCCGGTAGCTCTCGGTCTTTTGTTTCTGGCAGAAAGGAGAGCGCGCTAACCTGCTGAGATGGCCAGCACTCCAAAGATGAGCAGGGGATACTCACGTCTATACATACCCTGACAAAATAGGTTGAATAACAAATCAAAAACGTGATTTAATTAATAAGGCTAAAATGTTAAATATATTAATACATACATGTCATAAAACGCGGGTAGCATCAAGTGCACGCAAACGCATATATATATATATATATTATATATATATATATATATGTGGCACAAATGCATACATGAACTATGTTGTAGTTTGAAATTCTTCAATAAAAATATATAAATTTATGGCACGTAATATTTGTGTGTAGCACAAAGTTGAGGTAATAACCGATGCACATACCAATAAAGCAACATATGGAGCTAGAATCGCTGACACGCGTGCCCATGTAGAGTTACTTCCAAGTCCAATGTTGCGAACCACTGTGGGATACAGTTCCCCACTGTACAGGTAGCAAGTGACGTATGTCAATCCTGTTCCAAACATACCCAACTGTTGCCAACGTAACAATGACCCAATTCATATCTGCAACATTCAAAAAAAATTTTGTTTGTGTGAGGACACTATACGCGGTGCTAATAGGAAGAGTGAATTCACGTGTGCGTGAATTTGTGAAATGCATCCATATGCCAACTCCACATTATAACGAATTTTTTAAAGTGAGATTTGGATGTGAATTGGCTTATGATGCTTCGTAAAGCGCGCATAAACAAGCATGTTTATACGCACACATACACGCACGCACGCACGCACGCACACACGCCCTATAACACATATATACAAACAAACACAAACAGACAAACAGGCACAACCACACAGACATGAACACACATAAACACACAGACAGGCACGCGCGCACACACGCATACACACATACGCGCGTACATACGTACTGTAGTAAAAACCGCACCTGTTATGACTGCATTTCTCAGCATTGAGACTTACGTGCTGGCCATGGCAATGCAGTTATGATGCACGTGATTCCTGCAAACAGACTGGTTGCCGAAAGAGACAACCTCCGCCCCAGGTATTTGAGAATGATGGCAGCACAGATCGTACCAGGAAAACCTACTAACGCAGCTGCCGCGAAGCTAATGTACGGGTCCGTGCCGAGGTTGGCAGAATTCATGGCCAACCCGTAATAAACCAGAGACACTACAAACCTGCCAAAACAAGAAGCCAAAAATATATAATAAAAAAACCTTTTTTAATTTCACTGGTGATAATATAAGCATCAAAATATAAAGGAAGATAGATTTAATCATTCGCGCTTGTGTATTTCTACCGACAAAATGCACACAGCAAGATAAATGAAGATGTATTTAATAGCGTGAATACACATTGCCGATAAAATACAATATGAAGGGTAAAGACTTCTATGCTGCGCAGTGGTTTATATCAAGAGCCGATTATTAAGTTCATTGGGTGTGAGTGTGTTCCTGTTAATATTAAATTCGTAGATGTTTTAAGATAATATTAATGTCCTCGAAACTAATGCCATTTCTATAATACTCATACTCCCATCCCTGGCAAGGCAGCTCAGTAATCTCTGAGAATATCACTGCCATATTTATATATTTTATATAAAGTATAATTATTTTATATTTATCAAGTAGGACTCCAACAAAAGGGCATACATTTTGTGTTACGATTCATTTTCGTGTCAATACACGCAACAAACAAAATTGTCGACGAACCTTAGGTAACATTTAATCCACGTATCTGTCTACCTACCATTGATACATCATGTTAATAGACTTTTTCCTCATATTCGGAGTTGTAATATGTCGGTTGAAGTTGGGTTCTCTAGCAGAGCCATCGGCGGTGACAATCATATGTTTCTGGATGAAATAAAAGTTGTTCATTCAATCGATCAATAATCGCATGGTTGAGTGTATTGTGGGCACAATTCACGGGTTGTTCGGATTAGGTTGCGCAACGATGCAACATGTCTAAAACGATGTCACCTAGCTCCGAATCCAGTTTAAGTTCTACATGGTCCGTATACATTTTCTTGTTAGTTTGGATTATGGTACCGGAAACTCTTATAATTCGTTAAGGTGAATAAAAGTGACCAGCATATCAGACGCGATGTGGCCGGTATACCTTCGCATCTAGTTTAAGTGCTACAATGATCTGGATAGTTTCTCTTGTTTGTCTTTTGCGACTCTTGCAGTAGCGCTCTTTATCGCAAGTCATCGACCCGACCTTCCGCGTAGAGCCAACGAGGAGACTCTGGTATGAAACTAAAACAAACAACATTTTAAGTGCCAGCGACCGAAAAATAGTGTAAAATGGTTTATTCATTCCATCACCACATTTACTCCCTGGTCGTTTTTAGCGAGTCTATGAAACTAGCAGGTAAGTAATCATATATCTAAATAACAGGGTTAATTTTTACTCAACCGTGCAAGTTTGAAACGTACCGCTGACGTTTCGCCTCCTACCAGGAGGCTTTCTAAAAGCTAATCATATATCGTTTAAAATAATATGTTTTCAAATGTATATATATATTCGGTCATTTATTTCAGTAAACGCGGCTGCGCCATGGAGATAGTGTGTAAGTGGAAAAATGGTTGGGATCTATTGATAACTATAATAGCTATATTTCGATCACGGAAATGTTTCAGAGAAATTCACAACTATGAATTTATAGGAAATATTCAAATGCGCAGGCATCTGCTACTTACAAATACCACACAGGCAGTAAGAATAGACACACAGATATGGAGAGCTGCAAGTGGCGCCAATTGCGGAGAAAGTAAGCACACAGGCCACACAGTGCGTATCCCGCAGAGTAGGCGGCCGATGTCCCGTTTGTCACGCGATTTCTGTACTGCGGTCCAACATTCTCTAGCACTGAATATAACGACACGAGAGATGACCTGTTAGTAATAAAAAAGTTAAATCCTAAACAAACCGTTGGAAACTTGGTTATGAAACTATAGAAGTGATTCAATATAAGCAAGAGAACTTATTTAGAGTTTCAATTAAGAAAAATACAATGCATCAGCCAACGCCCGTTTTCGATCTTCTGTATTGGCAATTTTCTGTGTGTAATTTACAAGTGTTGTGTGGTAGACACGTTGGCATAAGTAATCTCTGTCTATTTTATCTTTAGTATGCACTATTAAATTTACCGTCGCCATAAAAGCGAAGCACTCGATCTAACTTATCAAACATGTCCTATTGACTTATACGACTTATACGACAGTGCTATTGTTTCTTGCGGGTGTTTTCGGATTTTGTTTGTGTCTGATCCAATATATGATTCTTCTATTTGAATGTCAATTGAGAATAAGCACAGATGTTTATTTAGTGCTTTCTTGATGATGACCACATCTGTTATCCTATGCTTGATTTCTCGATGATGACCATATTAGTCATATTAATTATCGTAGGTAATAAATACTCCTCGGTCGTAAAGGATGTGTGGGTGGTGTGGGGTGAAATGTAGGTAATGTTTCACATAACGGTGAGGAGTCTTTACACCATAGTTTTCATAGAATAATATGTTTTTATACAGTAGCTTCTGGGCAATTTCCAGACACCATCAGCTATTACTACTGTCTTCTGGTGATGATTTCAATCGACCGTCGTAACAGCGTTAATAAGACAACTGGTTGTCCGAACTATCGCGCTAGTTAACGTAAGGATGTTATTCCGGGATACCATTTCGAACGCCAATCGCACGTGAAGCTGCAATTAATAAACCTACTATACATTTAGGGAGACATATTTTTATGCTTGCAGGAAAATTTGTAAAATTAAAAAAAAAAGTACGGTACTGAATAAGCCGCGCATATTTTAGCGTGTGAACGCTCAAGTACGGAACTGAAATCCTCGTGTGAACGCAGCTTTATTAGTCGTTGTTATTAGTCGTATTTATTATAAGTCATTGTTATTGAGACACAGTACTGCATTATCAGGCCCGTAAGCCAGGGGGGCCGTTCGCGCGGGGGCGGATTCGAACGAACCCCCCCCGAGCCGAGCCCCAAGGCCAAAATTTTTCTTTCTTTGCCAAATTTGCCAAGAAGTTCACCTCAGGTGCTCCATTTTAGTGTGAATAATGCAAAATCTCATCCATTCGTGCGGGAGGGGTGAGACAGTCGGAACACCCCCCTCCCACAACCCTCCCCCGCTCGGTCTGCTTGGCTCCCTCGCCTGGCTCGGCCCGGTGTCGCGCCTCGAGAGCGCGGCGTGTACTAGGGGCGGGTGTCCAGGGAGGTCCGGACCCCCCTTGCTTCGCGCATGAAAACTCATCTGGAGGGGGTGTAATTTAAAAAAATGTCTGGGGGATTTGCCCCCAGACCCCCGGCTGTTGTCGCGTGGCTCGCAACTATGGGTTACGGTTAGACCCCCCTTGCGCTACAAATCCTGTACACGCCCTGCGAGCAAATGGCCAACATTGGAAAACGAAACCCCCCCCAATTAGAAACTGGGTACGGGCCTGCCGCGCCGGCATTCATCAACGGTTGCGTCAAAGTCTATTGCGTACACGGAGTTTCTACGAAGTTACGTGACGCTGCCAAAGCCTCGTTAGGTGCCGAGTTCATAACGCAGCGTAGCGCACCTGCGTACGCAAATGTTGATGAATTCCAGTGTAAAACTACGACTTCTAGCTGCTGGCTGTGGAGGGCGTGTGTCCTAAGCATTAAACCAATCAGCATGTGCGACACATACCACCTAGCGCAAACGAACAGACGTCCCCTCTTGTATTAAACCATAGGCTGTCTAGTGCGTGCTCGTCTGTCTTACATGAGTGCTGGGGGAGTGTGATAGCTGTCCTTCATTTTCGCTGTCATCACATAACTCGGCACTCCTCCCCTAGCGTCCAACACTCATATGAAAGCATGACGAGACCACAGCTACAACCACCTCGCCGAGTGCTACTAAGCCGTACGCGTAACCCGAGGCCAATAATGGTTTATAAGCAGAGGAATCTGTGTGGCGGGCCTGGTTTCGGTTCTGCAGTACACGTGTCGGGTTATGTATGGAGGCGGCACAACGTAGGTGCGAAATCTGCGTGGCAGTTGCAATGTGCACCGTGTGCGTGTGCTGTGTGTGTGCAGTGTACACGTGCTCGTGATGTGCGTGTGTTACGCTACACAAGAGCGTTGCGTCGCGGTGGTGTAGCGTACACGTTGCGTGCGTGCGTGTGTTACGTACACGTGCTGCGTGCGCTGCTGTACGTACACGTGCGTGGCGGTAGCGTGTTGTACCGTAAACGTGCGTTCGTGCGTGTCTGTACGTACACCCGTGTAGTGCGTCGCGTGTGTAACGTCACGTGGTGCGTGCTGTTGTGCGTGCGTTGTAAGCGGCGTACACGTGCGCTGCGTGGCGTGTGTACGTACACGCGGCGTGTCTGTTGCGTTGCGTCAGTGCACCGTACACACGCTGCGTGCGTGCGTGTGCACGTACACGTCGCGTGCGTGGCGTGCGTGCATTTTTTGTGCACTGTGGTCATGGTGTGCACGTACACGTTGGTTGCAAGCTGCGTTGCGCTTTGCACGTAACACGGGGCGCGCGCAGTGCGTGGTCATCTGAGCTCACCTGTGTGCACGTTACACGCGGTCGTTGGAGCGCTCCGGGGCGTGCATGTGACTGTTGCGTGGTGTGTGTGCACGTTACACGTACGTGCGTGTGCAGTATATGTGTGGGCGTGTGCAGATCTACGTGCAGCGTTGCGTGGCAGTACACCTGGGTGTGATTGGTGTGTGCGTAGTGTACCTGTGACACTGGGCTGCGTGCGTACGTTGCGTCGCACGTACACGTGGGCGGTGCGTGCATTTGGCGACCGTGGCGTGCTCATCGTACTAGACGTGGAAGGGAGGCGGCGAGCGTTGCGGGGCCGTACGGTGTACATAACACGTGCGTTGCGTGCTGCGTTAGTGCACGGCCACACGTGCTGTGTGCGTGCGTGCCATGCTGCACGTGCGCGGTGTGCGGCTGCGTACACGTGGCGTGCGTGCGTGTGTTACGTACATGCGGCGCCGCTGTGCGTGCGTGCGTCGCGTGCGTCGGGTGTACTGTACACCAAGGTGGTGCGTCGTGCTGTTGTGTCACCGTCACATCGGTAGTGTGCGTGCGTGCTTTGCACGTTTGCTGCGTGCGGGTGTGCACGTACACGTGCGTGCGTGTTGCACGTACAAGCGACGTGCGCTGCTGCACGTTACACGTGACCGTGTGACTCCAGGGCCGCGTGTACACGCTACACGCGCTAAACTACGAAAATCTCGCCTGACGAACGAAAACAATGCCAAGCTATGACATAAGAAGCGTCAAATGGACGCCGCTGTCTATGTGTAGTATGGTATATATTTATTTTTTATTTGTTTTAGTTGAGTAGCTAATTTTATGTTTCTCAATAAAAATTAATGCATGCTGCTGGATATGTTGGAACACCTGCCAGAAATTTTCGAGTGTGTTTACAGGCACCTTCGTCAGCTCGTTGTAGAGATTACGCAAAGTGTTACGTAAATAGCTTGTTGAATTCGCACCAAAACGGACTCGGCTGCGTACCGAAATTCGCTACGCAAATTTACTTAAATTTGCCTGGTTGATGAATCGCAACTAAGGCAAACGTCGCGATCTGCGTCACACAAATTTACGCAAAATATTTTGCGTACGCAGCTTGATGAATCTACCCCTGTTATTTTACTATAAATCAGTAACGTATACGTATTTACGTAAAATATTTATCAAGACGAAGGATAACGAAGCGTCTCTTCAGTAAAACATAGTTCTGTCAGAGCATGAGAAATGAGCAGATGTTTTGTTCTCCACATGTACAGGTACTGTATGTCCATTCAGAATCCAATAGTACCAGCGATGTATTGTTTTGTTGAATAAAAACAATCACAGAGCTGCTGTTGTAATGCTGAGTTAGCACTTTTCTAATGTCATATACTGGAGGTTCTTCAGCAAATTCTTTGGTTTGAGTTTTCCGTGTTGAACCTCTTAAGTAACCCCTGATTCTCCAATCCAACCTATAGTCCAACAGGGATCTCAAGGCTTCCCTTGGCCCAGCCTTGCTAGCATTTCATTAAATTTGTAGACTTATCCGGATTTTGCGGGGTTTGGCTGTTATCAAGTTTGTTGCACGCATCTTTTTATGCATCTGTGTTTGTGTTTCCTTGGGATAGCATACTGTTATCATAGCAGGTTATGGGTAAAGCCTGAGAAACGTAGCAGGCTGTAGCCCCATTGGATTCATGGTATTAATTAGGCAAAAATGCCCTGTCCGCTGTGAAGAAAAATTTTAACACAATTTGAATTCAAGTATAAGCTTTTTTACATATTGAAAGTAGAAACAAGAACCTATTAATTTAAGAACCTTTTGAGCCTAATTTTTCAGTAAGCACCATTTATATAAGAACCTATTGAGGCTAACTTGGAAAAATCTAGATTCTTATACGCGGGTTTTTACTGTAGCGCACTAGTGACCTCATTGGCAAGGTCGATTAGATCTCTATTAGACTAATGTCTACTAGACTAACTTATATCTTTAGGCTAACATATTAAGAAAGACAACGCATTCCCTGGGCCGTTGTCCGGTTGTATCCAGCTGAATCCAATTGACACACGAACCTGCTTTCCCGCGCCTATCAATAGGAGGCCTATGTGCAAACGCTCCAGTTGTTATGATAAACGTCACGTGTGTATCTACACGTGTGTACTACGTGGGGACACTCTTTGGCAAACTGATCATTGACTGACTACTTACAGTACTAATACATATACGGCAAGTGGCAAGTACGTGACAGCACGCCCAGCTCTTCTGTAAGTAGTAAACCCGCAACGGTTACCCCACGCAACAAAATAACATTATTACAATTGCTCATTTTATTATATTTCACTACGTTACCTACTATAGATATAGGAACTGTTCATTGCTCCTGCTCCCGCCGCCCCGATGAGAAATCGGATGATCAGAAACCATGTGAAGTTAGGGGAGAACGCAGCTACGGTGGCGCTTACAGCAAACACTATAGACGTGACGATAAACGTCCATTTTCTTCCTTTCCTGTAATCAATAGATTGTTCAAATCAATAAGTTATTTTGGTAATCACAAATAAATTCCCTGCTTTAGTATATACGTTTCTTCATATCGTTGGTAGGTAAACATAAAATTATAAATCATGTAGAATACGACATTAATACCCCGTACAGACTACGAATTTTAGCGCGCGTCAGACGCGCGTCTAACGCGTGCTATCTTAGCGCGCGCTAACTAGGAGCGTACAGACACAAAACTCTGAAGCGGGCTAAATGAGTCATCAGTTCTTCCACCGATCAGTTCCCTGCTCGCACGTCACCCCACAGACAGCGAGGTACAGCGAGCATGCGTGCGAGCGAGCGTACGTGACCTAAATAAGGCTATGCGCATGCGCATTGCGAAACTTAGCACGCGTTAGGCACCGATTGCGTACAGACACAGAGTTAGAGTGGGATAACTTGGTGTGCACCAAGATAGCCCTGCTCCGAACTTGGAGCGGGCCAGCGCGTATTTGCGCTCCGACCCGAGCGGGATCGGGAGGCTCACGTCTGGATCGGGAGGCCTTGCGTCTGGCTACCGATTGGTTTGACGCGATCGGGAGGTCATTTTGGGCCGATTCGAATTTTGAATCGGGTGCGGAGCGGGTCGTATAGTGTGCGAGGGTATACGACGCGACTCGGATAGTGTGCATGGAAGCCGAGCGCTGAAGAAAATTGACCAATCACAGAGCAGCGCCATGGGAACCGCATGGGAGTTGCTAGAACACGGGCGTCGAAGGAGGGTCACGTGATGTGGCTGCACTTGTGTTAGGATTAGGGTTAGGCCGTTAGGGTCAGGGTTAGGGTTAGGGTTAGGGTTAGGATTAGGGGTAGGGTTAGGGTTAGAGAAATAAGGCCATGTCTACCATGGAAGTATGACTGTGGAATCTTTCTGTGGAAGATTTGGACTTTTAAGCGTACGAAGTGACTAGTACGTAGACTGCCACGTAACGGCACCCTCCTTCGACGCCCGTGTTCTAGCAACACCCGAACCGCATTCGGTAAAAATGGCGGGGAAACCCTCCCGGGTGTTGCTATCCCCCGGGCGTGGGGGGAGGGTCACGTGATACAGTTGACGTATACTTCAAAATTATTACTTATCCGGTAACGCTAACTCCAACACCTCCAACGATAACCATAACACTAAACATATATATCTCGGAGCGCTATATATAGGTGGTGTGATCCACAAAAATTAATCTATGGTGTGGGGACAGATATCATGCTGCAAAAACCCTAACCCTAACCCTAACCCTAACCCTAACCCTAACCCTATCCCTAACCCTAACCCTAACCCTAATCCTAACCCTAACCCTAACCCTAACCCTAACTCTGACCCTAACCCTAATCCTAACACTATCCTAACACTAGTGCTGCCATGTTGCGGTAACCTCCGCCCGGAGGATAGCATTACCCAACACTCCCAACCCTTAGTACACGCTAAATCCGCTTGGAACGCCACGAGAGCGCCATGGTTAGCGCCGACTTTGAGTCGTACAGTGTGCGGGGGACTCTCGATCGATCGGCTGCCGAGTGTATGGTGTGCGAGGGCTTACGACTGCGGCCCGAGCAAAATCGTATAGCGTGCGGCTAGCATAACGCGCGCTAGTTTAGTACCATATCAAATTCGTAGTCTGTACGGGGTATAAATCCATAAAATATTTAATGTACTCTATTGTACAAACAACGTTTATGGTACTCGCGTTTGGAACTGCGCTAAGCAGTGACACTAAATGACCATCACGTACACGCAGGGCCGGTGCCAGACTATTTTGCGCCCTAGACAAGGCCAACTAATTGCACCCCCCCCTCCCAATGAAGTCAGCATGATGAAATTACGTAGACAAGTTTTGCATTGAAATTTAACTTGTATTTTTTAATTCCAACTATAAATTGAAAATCCAGAATAGAGTACGGTAGTGAATATATTATATGGGCCTACATGTAGATTAGCCTAGATCTACATAAGTCATAACTGATACAGGCCTGGAAATTTTTAGAATATTTTGCAGTTACACAGATGGATCTATTGTATAAAACTGTGCCCCTCATAGGTCAGTACTGCGCCCCTCTGAGATCTGCGCCCTAGGCGGCTGCCTAGTTGGCCTAATGGTAGCACCGGCCGTGCGTATACGACTAATTCCTGTGAAGTTTTAATAATACTTAAAAGCGTACGTGTCAGACAGATATGCAGGTATGATGCATCCGACGAGAAACCCCAGCATGTATATGGCTTGTGCAGTAGCAACTAGCCATTGCTTGCCACATACAAGGTCCCACTGAAACGGTCGGAAAAAGACTTCAAGAATGCGGTTTCCATATTATACGCCTCTGTATGTAGCATCGAAACCAAAATGGATACGTATTACTTGACGTATAATATAATGGTTTCTTCTAAATATTTAGTATAGCCCTACCATATGACAGTATTTATAGTTGTACAGTATATTATAGCAAGTGTAAATGTACAATCTTATTTTGTTCATGCACAGGTCGTGCAGACGCATTGACAAAATAATAGTATAATTATAGTACAATATATTAGAAAATAATATATCACGCAATGGTTCAAGGATAGAGATGATGTCCAGTACGGTGATTGTATAGGATGATGTTAGTTGATAAGATAGGACTGGACATCTTCTCTATCCCTGAGCCCATGCAATAATAAACTCCAGCTGTATTTTCGAGTTTTGAAAAAATACTTACCTCGGTAACCAGGGTTGATCCACCTTCGCGAATATCATAGATCCATCCATGCTGACACTGACCTTCCACAGTATTACCCAGTAACGATGCCGGAACGCTTGCAAACGATTCATTCTGATAGATTTCTGCTAAATCAGAGTAATTTCGCGCGACGTACCATAAACGTTGTTTGTACAA